TCCTGCCTCAACCTCCTCAGTAGCGGGGATTACAGGCACGCGCCACCATGCCCAGCTAATGTTTTTGTATTTTTAGTAGAGACGGGGTTTCACCATGATGACCAGGACGGTCTCGATCTCTTGACCTCGTGATCCACCCGCCTCGGCCTCCCAAACTGCTGGGATTACAGGCTTGAGCCACCGCGCCCGGCCTTAATTTTTTTGTATTTTTAGTAGAGATGGGGTTTCACCATGTTGGCTAGGATGGTCTCGAACTCCTGACCTCAAGCGATCCACCCGAGAGTCACCACGCCCGGTCCCTCAGGGTTTTTGTTTGTTTGTTTGTTTGTTTTTACCTATGACGCCTACGGAGGTGACGCCCTAGAGAAGGAAGGAGCCCTCTGGAGCCCAGTGCTCAGCTCCCGCCTCCAGGGAGGGTCAGGGGAGCGGCCATACGGTCCGGGGACTTGCCCTGAGGAGGAAGCGGGTGCCGTTGCTGAGCCGCCCGCCGCCTGGAGGGGGAGGCTGAGCTTCAGGACACGCAGGCCGGCCGCCGCCAGGGCCCAAACCCCGTGGACCCCAGGTTCGTCTTCCCGCGGCGAGGGTGCGGGGCGGGGCCTGGCCGGGCGGGGTCCGGGACTCGGGTGGGGACCCAGCGCAGCGCTTGACGCAACTACACCGAGACCGAGGCCTTACGCTCGGGCCGACCCGGAGCTCCGCCGCTGTGCCCGAGTCGGGGGCTGGGGTCGCCGGCACCGGGGCGTGCACGCAGCACGTGGGTGCTGGTCCGCGCGGCTGGGGGGGGCGGGGCGCGTGAGCCCGGACTGGGGGCCTGGCTCCGGGGCCACCCAGCCGGAAGCTCTGCAGCTGCGGCCTTCCCAGTCATATCCCGAGGCCGGCGCCGTGTTCCGAGAAAGGTCAGGGGGACCTCCAGGCTCCCACGCGCCTGCGAAATCCTCCGCCTGCCTTCCCTCGGCCGCAGTTTCTGTTTCTGAGAAACCGGTGAAGTAAGAGCGCCCCGAGGGCTTGCTGGGAGGGTGGGCGCGGAGAAGGCGAGCACGGGACTCCAGGCCAGGCACTTGGGAACCCCAGTCGGTGTGAGGGGACTTCCTAGGGTTGGCATGGACTTCCCCACCACAAAATGCCCCGGGCGGGGGCGCAAGAAAATGCCGATTGAGCCAGAGACCAGACTTCGGTCACCACGGTGGAAAGCCATTGGTGCCTTGACACCTCCGGCTTGGAGCCCAGTGGCTTTTATTTGATCTACAGTCTAGACAGTGCCTTTAGAAGTTGCCAGCATTTACCTATTTTATTTATATTTTTTAGGCAGAGTCTTGCCCTGTCACCCAGGCTGGAGTGCAGTGGCCTGATGAGGGTTCACTGCAGCCTTGACTTCCTGGTCTCAAGGAATCCTCCTACCTCAGCCTCCTGAGTAGCTGAGACCACAGGCTCAGGCCACGAGGCCTAGCTGATTTTTTTTTCTTTTTCCTTTTTTTTTTTTTGAGACAGAGTCTTGCTCTGTCACCAAGGCTGGAGTGCAGTGGCAGGATCTCAGCTCACTCCAACCTCTGCTTCTGGGGTTTAAGCGTTTCTCCTGCCTCAGCCTCCTGAGTGGCTGGAAATACAGGCGCCCACCACAATGTCTGGCTAATTTTTGTATTTTTAGTAGATACTGGGTTTTGCCATATTGGCCAGGCTGGTCTCGAACTCATGACCTTGTGATCCATCTGCCTCAGTCTCCCAAGGTGCTGGGATTACAGGCATGAGCCATTGGAGCACCTGGCCTAAGTTCTTTTTTTCCAGAGACAAGAGACTCGCTATGTTGCCCAGACTACAAGCATTTTTAATTGACAGGTTTCACTTTTTATTTTTTATTTTTATTTTTTTATTTTTTTTAAAGGTGGGGTTTCACCATGATGGCCAGGCTGGTCTTGAACTCCTGACCTCAGGTGATCCACCCACCTCGGCCTCCCAAAATGCTAGGATTACAAGCGTGAGCCACAGCGCCCGGCCGATTTTGCTTTTTTTTTTTTTTTTTTTTAAATGCTTACAGTTACTTCTCAACACTTAGAAGACTTGACCACATGGGGTTTTTTTCCATCAAAACATTTTTTTTCTTTTTTTTCTTTTTTTGAGGCGGTCTTGCTCTGTTGCCCAGGCTGGAGTGCCATGGCCCAGTCATGGCTCACAGGCTAGCGGGCTCCTTCCTTCCCTAGCGTGTGACCTCAGCAGACCTCATGGACTCTAAGGTAAAAAACCTCTGAGGAGCCAGGTCCGGTGGCTCACACCTGTGGGCCACTGCAGCCTTGACCTCCTGGGCTCAGGAGATCCTCACACCATAGCCTCCCAAGTAGCTGGGACCACAGGTGCTCACCACTATGCCCGGCTAATTTTTTCACTATTTATAGAGACAGGAACTCCCTGAACTGCCAAGGTTGCAAAGCATTTTTCACGAGACACAAGTACCTCACCTGTTTTCTCTGCCATGCTAAAGTGTTCCTCCGTGACCAGGAGCCAGCATGCACCCACCCTCCTGTTTTCTGGGATGGGAGCTCTAAGAAGACTATGAACTGTGGCTTTAGCCAAGCCTCTATGGAAAATCAGAAGAGGTCAGTAAAAGGCTGGGTGTGGTGGCTCACGCCTGTAATCCCTACACTTTGGAAGGCCAAGGTGGGTGGATCAGCTGAGGTCAGGAGTTCAAGACCAGCCTGGCCAACATGGTGAAACCTGTCTCTACTAAAAATACAAAAATTAGCTGGGCATGGTGGCAGGTGCATGTAATTGCACCTACTTGGGAGGCTGAGGCAGGAGAATCACTTGAACCCAGGAGGCGGAGGCTGCACTGAGCTGAGATCGCACCATTACACTCCAGCCTAGTGACAAAAGCAAAATTCTGTCTCAAAAAAAAAAAAAAAGAGGCCAGCAAGTTTCTGTTTTTCTGCTTGTAGGTGGAAAACATTCTCTCCTCATGCATAAGCAAAGGAGGCCCACCTGGGTGACAGTGCAGCGCCCTGGCTGCCGGCCCGCCCCCACCTACCTGGGGTAAGTGCCTGGGATCCCATTAGGGGACTAACCAGGTGCTCCCAGGTAAGATTCAGGCCAGGGCCGTGGCACTACTTGAAGTTTTCCAGAACCCTTGTACAGTACAGAGGCAGAGGGAGGACAGTGTTGTGGGCAGGTTTGTGCTGGCAGCAATGCTAACCGAAGCTCTGTGCTCCACGTGGTCCTCCTGGCCCTTCCGGGTCTGGACAGTTACCCGATCCTTTTCACAGCTTCCCAGCTAGTCAGTGCAGGCCAGGATTCGAACCTAGGTAGTCTTCTCAGGCACCCTTCATCCGTTTGTTTTCCAGCAATCTCCAAGTGGACTCTGTCCTGACACCCAAAGCAGCCCAGTTGGGTGCTATGGGGGCTTCCCGTTGGGTTGTTTTATCACATCTGACTTGCAGGCAAAAGTGAGCTTCTGGGGAGAGGGCGGTGGTTTCTCAGCACTAGCCCACCACTGAATGAACATTAATGAGTCTGGGATATAAAAATGGTTTTATATTCTGGCCGGGTGCGGTGGCTCACTCCTGTAATCCCAGCACTTTGGGAGGCCAAGGTAGGCAGATCACGAGGTCAGGAGATCAAGACCATCCTGGCTAACACAGTGAAACTCGTCTCTTCTAAAAATACAAAAAATGAGCCAGGCATGGTGGTACACACGTGTAGTCCAGCTACCGAGGAGGCTGAGGCAGGAGAATCGCTTGAACCTGGGAGGCCGAGGTTGCAGTGAGACAAGATCGAGCCACCGTACTCCAGCCTGGGTAACAGAGCGAGACTCCATCTCAAAAAAAAAAAAAGATTTAATATTCTAACAGTGAACCCAGAGCATTAAAATAACAACAATCACCAAACCCTCACAGAACTCGCAGACAAGTGTGGCCTCCACAAAATCTTAGTCCGCCCAGCCCACTGGCTTTCAAATTAAGCTATCTTTTTTAACTGGGGAAGGGCCTTTTAAAAAATGTGTCTCTAAAGACTTTAGTATTTTTCTTGCACTCTTCTGAATGTGTGTCCCATGACTACTCTTTCCATTGAGGGCCTGCTGTTTACTGGAAGGACCCTCAGCCTCAGAAATACTCTTTTGTGGGGTTTTGGTTTTGTGTTTTTGGTCAGTTGCCCAGGCAGGAGTGCAATGGTATGATCGTGGCTCACTGCAGCCTTGAACTCCCAGGCTCAAGAGATCCTCTACCTCAGCCTCCCAAGTAGCTGGGACTCCAGGAGTGTGCCACCATACCTGGCTAATGCAGGGTTAGAGAGGATACCCTGGCCTGGTTCCCTGGGTGCCTGAGGGCCCACCTCCCTGATCAGGCTCGTAACCACTACTGCTCCCCCACAGGCCATGGATACTTCCGAGCCCACCACAGCCCTGGCCAGCATTAATGAGCTGCCGGAGAACATCCTGCTGGAGCTGTTCCTGCACGTGCCCGCCCGCCAGCTGCTGCTGAACTGCCGCCCTGTCTGCAGCCTCTGGCGGGACCTCATTGACCTCATGATCCTCTGGAAGCGCAAGTGTCTGCGAGACGGCTTCATCACCAAGGACTGGGACCAGCCCGTGGAGGACTGGAAGATCTGCTACTTCCTAAGGAGCCTGCAGAGGAACCTCCTGCGCAACCCGTGCGCCGAAGGTGCCATGGGGGCGGGGTGGAGGCTTCTTCCCATCGTCGGGCCTTGGCACTTGCAATTCCCACACTACCTGGAATGTTCTCTAACCCTAAACACCCACCTCCTTCCCTTGGTTCCTTCTCATTTTCAGGTCTCAATTCAGAGACCTGCCCTGTCCCCCCAATCTAAAAACAGCACTCCCACCTCTAGCATAGCACCCCCATTTCATGCCCTGTAACATTTTTCAGCAGTTACGGTGGCTCACGCCTGTAATCCTAGCGCGTTGGGAGGCTGAGGTGGGTGGAGTTCTTGAGGTCAGGCATTTGAGACCAGCCGGGCCAACATGGTGAAACCCTACCTCTACAAAAATACGAAAAAATTAGCCAGGCAGGATGGCAGGCACCTGCAATCTCAGCTCCTTGGGAGGCTGAGGCAAGAGAATCACTTGAACCTGGGAGGTGGAGGTTGCAGTAAGCCAAGGTTGTGCCACTGCACCCCAGCCTGGGCAACAGAGCAAGACCCTGTCTCTAAAAAAATAATTAAAAAATAAAACAAATAGGCAAGGTACAGTGGCTGACACCTGTAATCCCAGCACTTTGGAAGGCCGAGGTGGGCAGATCACTTGAGGTCAGGAGTTTGAGACCAGCTTGGCCAACATGGTAAAACCCATCTTTACTAAGAATACAAAAATTAGCCGGGCATGGTGGTAGGTGCCTCCCAATCACTTGGGAGGCTGAGGCAGGAGCACCGCTTGAACCTGGGAGGTGGAGGTTGCAGTGAGCTGAGATCACACCACTGCACTCCAGCCTCGGTGACAGAGCGAGACTCTATCTTTAAAAAAAAAAAAAGGATCCTGGGAGATGCCAAGACAATTAGGGTGGACTCCACTGTATAAATGAGGAGCTTTGGTTCCAACATGAGTGACTTCCCCAAAGAGGTACAACTGCCCAGCTTCCACGGTTTGGTCCTGACAGATAAAGGCCTCAAACTGTCCCTGCCCCAAATCCCAGAGGCCCCATAGGCAGTGCCCCACTCAGTCCCTCTGCCTGCTCCAGATTCCACTCAAAGCTGCCAGGCTAAGCTGCTCACTCTGCGTAACCCCACCTGACAGAGCTAGCCTTGCAGCCTGCCCTGCCCGGAGCCGAAGTGCTCAGTCAAGCCCTGCCGGTTCACACCAGCCTAGCTCCTGGATTTCTGTATTACTCTCCTGGCTCTCTACTGGGGACTTGAGAGCACCTGGAGAATAGCGGGCTCCTGGAGCAGGAGCGAGCGAACCATTTGAAAAGGGCCTGGTGATTGCCTGGGCAGCCCCGGTAGAGAAGCACCATTGTTTTCTAAGGTTCTCTAAGTCCACTGTGAAGAAGGTGACTGCTCCCCTGAACCTACGGAGCCCACCTAAGGGAGGTTCACCCATGAATGTTACCACAGCACCAGCGCAGAGGGCACCTGCTCCTCCACTTAGCACTGTTGCCCTGGGCAGAGGCCGTTCAAGCCCTGTGGAAATCTCAGGTTCCCATGACCCAACGACAAACCCACAAACCCATCCTCTAGGGCCTCCAGTCTCAGTTATGTAGTTAATCAAGGGCCTCACCCATCTGGGGGTGCCATCGGGGTCAAGTAAGCAGCCTGTGTTGGGATGAATGCATGTTAGCCTTTTTAAAATCTTTTACTTATAAAAAAAGACAGGGCCTTGCTATGTTCCCCAGGCTGGTCTTGAACTCCTGGGTTCAAGCAATCCACCTGCCTTGGCCTCCCAAAGTGCTGGGATTACAGGCGTGAGCCCCTGTGCCCGACCTCACATTAGTCTTTGAGACAGTACTTTCACAGGCCCCTTGTAATTTAATTTTTTGAGAACTGATACTTGGGTACTTCCCAGAGTTCCACTGCAATGCGGATGTGAGGAAGAGTTTGCATTCTTTTTTTTTTTTTTTTTTTTTTTTTTTTTTGAGATGGAGTCTCGCTCTGTCGCCAGGTTGGAATGCAGTGGCGCGATCTCAGCTCACTGCAACCTCCACCTCCCAGATTCAAACAATTCTCTTGCCTCAACCTCCCGAGTAGCTGGGACTACAGGTACGTGCCACCACACCCAGCTAATTTTTGAAATTTTTTTTTTTCCTTTTAGTAGAGACGAGGTTTCATCATGTTGGTCAGAATGGTCTCGATCTCTTGACCTCATGATCCGCCCACCTCGCCTTCCCAAAGTGCTGGGACTCCAGGCATGAGCTACTACACCCAGCCAAGTAACACATTCTTTTCTCCAGCTTCGTGTTAGGAGTGAGGCCAGTTTGGGACTGAGTGGGACAGAGTATCCCTTCCAAGGGACTTGGAGGCTGCCCAATTGTGTCAGATCAGAGCTGATATGGTGAGGACAGGTGGGAATGTGTTAGAGGGGTGCTGCAAGGTGCAGTTGGGGTACACTTGGGCTGGTGGGGCACTGACCTTGGCTACACAATGCCCTTGAGAAGGAACACGCTGGTTAACCCTTTGGTGTCCACAGCCCCAGAGACTTGAGCATGAGGAAGTCTTGCCTCCCAAGAAGGTCACTAATGCCAACCACGCTCCTTCCCACCCTCCCAGTACCAGATGGGGAGGTAAGGGGTCTCACCTCCACTTCTGTTCCTCCTAGAGGGTATGTTAGCTTGGCAAATCGATACCGAAGGTGGCAACTACTGGAAGGTGGAGAGCCTCCCTGGAGCCCACGGGACAGATTTTCCTGACCCCAAAGTCAAGAAGTATTTTGTCACATCCTATGAGTAAGGCAAACTGAACCTACCAGGCTTGCGTGGAGGGGACAGTCAGGACACCTTTGCCAAGTCTCAGGCAAAGTCTTTTGAAGGGAAGCCCTCTGTGAAGCTCAAGGGAGGTGGCCCAGAGTCACTGCTTCCTGGAGTAACTCAGTGACTTTGTTCATGGGCAGTGGGGGTGGGGATCACTGAAGCAAGCCAGGAGTCCATGGGGTGGTTAAGATAAGCCAGGGCTGTCTACAGCTGTCCGTCCCTAAGCCAGGAACTTGAGTTTACAAGAGTGCCCTGGAACACTGGGCTGTTGGACTGGGATCAGATGCTGCCCAGGCACAAGTGGGTCAAACTCCCTCCTTAGGTTTCTCATGGGCCTGCACTGGGGTAGGAGCCAGAGTCAGCCCCAGCCAGTGCCTGTCCTACAGCAGCCAAGGGATACCCAAGGTCCCCAGACCACCTCCCTGCATTCACAGGGCTGCCGAGGATTGGGTGAGGGAGGGCCATGCAGAGCACACCCAGGCACAAAAGCCCCCCACTCTGCTCCCCAGGATGTGCCTCAAGTCCCAGCTGGTGGACCTTGTAGCCAGCGGCTACTGGAAGGAGCTACTGGACACAGTCAGGCCAGACATCGTGGTTAGGGACTGGTGAGTAGCACCCAGGGCCTGTGTTCCCACACTCTACAGCCTCCTCTTACTGCCAGGTTGGGTGAGACAACCTGTCGCAAGTGCCCACTGTGCCCAGCAGTGTCCTAGAGCCAGGTAGCCCCGGCCTGTCCCCACTCTGCACCCAGACCCAGCATGTGTTCACCCAGCAGCACCTCCTGGCCTCCCCACCACCCTGTGACATGCCCAGCAGGACACAGTAGCCCCAGTGTGCAGATGCGGAGACTGTGGCCCCCAGGTGCGTTGTTACTGACAGGCACTTTTTTTTTTTTTTTTTTTGNATGTGAAATTGATCTTTTGTTTGTGACTTAGGTGTTCAAAAGTTTTTTATTCTCACAGTGACCAGAAGAAAATTCACAGCGCTGAGTTTTTATCCAGGAGTAGAAGAACTTGTCGACTAGTAGTTTTAAAGGGAAATGAGAGACAGAAATTAGTAATTTCAGTTGCTTTATAATTATATCCCCACTTTTTTTTTTTTTTTGAGATGGAGTTACTCTGTCACCCAGGCTGGAGTGCAGTGGTACGATCTCAGCTCATTGCAACCTCCATTTCCCAGATTCAAGCAATTCTCCTGCCTCAGCCTCCCAAAGAGACAGGGTTTCACCATGTTGGCCAGGCTGGTTTCAAATTCCTGACCTCGAGTGATCTGCCTACCTTGGCCAGCCCTCTCTGGACCAGGTGGAAACCCCCAGACCCCCTGGCCTACCTGCCTCCCCTCCCCTTTCCCTATTCATCCCTTTTTGAGCTCCTACTCTGTGCACAGAACTGTGCAAGGTTCTGGCCTGGCCAGTGGCAGAAGCAGGACCCCAGTTCTAGGCAGGCCTCAGGGCCACCACGCTGAGGATAACGGGGTGAGGCTGGGGGGTGGCTGGGCTGAGCAGAGGGTGAGCTCTGTGGCAGTCCCATCACACAGGCCATCCCCTTGACTCTCCCACTGAGTCCACGGCCTGGTCCACTGTAAATGCAGGTGACATGACTTGGACAGAGCTGGCCTCTTGGAGGGTCTTTTGCTTTTTGAGGTCACATCTTTAGTAGGATGCCCAAAAGAGTCCCTTATCTCAGATAGGGTAACTGAGGCCAGCATGGACAGGCTGCTCCCCGAGGGCCACAGCGGGGCATAGGGAGTGCTGAAGCCAGTTGTGCCTTGCAAGAAGAGCAGTGTTGGCCGATGGGAAATAAAGCTCCAAGCTCCAATGTGTAGGTCCCACCTGCCCCTACTCCTGGGGCCAGCCCTCAATGGCTCGGATGCACGGCTCTCACCCCCCCACCAGGTTTGCCGCCAGAGCCGACTGTGGCTGCACCTACCAACTCAAGGTGTACCTGGCCTCGGCTGACTACTTCGTGTTGGCTTCCTTCGAGCCCGAACCTGTGACCATTGAACAGTGGAACGATGCCGCATGGAGAGAGGTGAGGCCTCACCCCCTTGCTCTCCACCCACTCCTCCCAGGGCCAGGATGCCAGGAAGCAAGGGGCAGCCTCAGGGCCCAGGGAGCCCTGCTCTCTGGCCTGGAGCTGTTGCCTTCCAGCCTGGGCAGCTCCCTTAGAGAACCTGGCTCCTGCCATCCCTTCCCCCACCCCGGTGGTCACTTCCTCCCCTCCTCCCTGCAGGTCTCCCACACCTTCTCGGACTACCCTCCAGGCGTCCGCTACATCCTCTTCCGGCACGGGGGCCAGGACACCCAGTACTGGGCAGGCTGGTACGGGCCCCGACTCACCAACAGCAGCATCGTCATCAGCCACAAGATGACCAGGAACGCGGCCTCCTCCGAGGCTCAGCCTGGGCAGAAGCACAGGCAGGAGAAGGCTGCCCAATCGCCCTACAAAGTTGTTCTCCCAATCTGACAGCCGTCCATCCTGTGTCCGGGTCAGCCAGAGGTTGGGGTGGGCAGTGAAGTCCCTGTACCAGGGGCTTCTGCCCCCGGTTCAACCCTACCAGCTTGTGGAAACTTAATGTACTGTCACATAGCTCTGACGTTTTGTTGTAATGAATGTTTTCAGTAAAACCAGCCTGGGGTTGGTTTTCGGAGTGGGGAGGGGGGTCCCTGGCATTTTGGTGGAGAAACAGCCCCTGCCCCAGGTTACCCTGGCCATACCTGTCCTTCCCACTCCAGTTAGTGACAGCTCAGCTCAGGCCAGCCCTTGGGGCCCCTTTATTGAAACAACTCACAGCACAGTATTTGAGACAGACAGTGTTGGCCGGCGGAACCCCAGGAGGCTGAGAAGTCGAGGTCACGGCATCCTCACTGTCCTCCTGGGGAAGGCATCCTCCAAGTAGACCTGAGCGGCCCCGGGCTGGAGCGGGCGATCCACACACAGAGGCAATAAGAGCACTTGGAATCAGGGCAGCCGTGCAGCACTGCCCTAGGTGGGGATCCCCCAAAGTCTGACAGTTCAGGCATCAGTGGGGTGGCAGGTGCCCCCTCAGCTGCCTTTATGAGCGCGCTCTTCCACGTAAAGCTGCATCTGATGGACACAAGCAAACAGCCATGGTCACTGAGACAGCCAGGGCATCTCTGCTGGAGGACCCAGAAGACCCTGGTGGGCAGATCTCTGCCAAGGGTGGGGCCTCATGGCCATGGCCAAGGTGAAGAAGAGTAGAGATGGGAGAAGCTTTTACCAGGCATTCCCTCCTCCTTCCCTCCAAGCCCTCTAGCAAGGCCTCAGCACCAGGCCTCACTTCCTAAGCATCCCCTAAATAAAGCTCCCGGGTCCCCATGGGGCCCACCTTTAAAATGTCCAACTCACTTCCTAAGCATCCCCTAAATAAAGCTTCCCAGGTCCCCACGAAGCTAACCTTTAAAATGTCCGACGTCATGGTTTTCAGTGGAATCAGCCGGGGGTCATGCATGTGGACATCCTGCTCATCCGCCAGGATCCAGGGGAAATCCTAGGGAGGGGACAAAGGTCAGGGGGGTGACAGGGGGCAGGGCCCTGGCCTGCTGTCACTTTGTTGCCCCTCCCACTGCAGACCAGGGGCCTCCAACCTGAGCCTCGGAATCACTAGGGAGCTGTTGGTAATGCAGACCCCAGGACCCCCTACCCCCCACAGAGGCCGAGTCCATAGAAACCAAGTGATGAACAAGCCCCAAGCCCCTAGGACCCCATTCCCAGAGAGCCCCCACTTCAGAAGAGCCAGGATGAACTGGGGACCCCAGCCGGTCGCTATGCCTAGGCTCCTCACTACCCCAAGTGCCCAGATGGAGCAGTGGCCAGGCCTGAGGACCTGCTGGGTGCAGGCACTGCTGCCCCAACGTAATGAGAAACTGGCCACAGGCAACACCCCTGCCTGTGTGGAACTGCGGCATCAAGTTTCCAGAGCCTGCGCCCAGGTCGACCCGCCTCCCCTCACCTTGATGACCTGGATCTTCTCCATGTTGCGAGTGGCGGCTTCTCTCGTGTGCACCAGGACTGTGAAGGTACAGCCTGGAGAGGCAAGAGGTTGGTGGAGGCTCCCCTGCCGCCCCGGTGCCTGCCACTGGCCCCAGCCTCTTCCCACTTCCCTTGCTGGCTCAGCAGCCCCCCAGAGCAGAACAAGTGCTAAGAAAAGGCCCAGTCAATAGGGAGATGAAAGCCAGGTGGAGTCAATCAGGAAAGCTTCCCGAAGGAGGTGGACTCTCAGGAGTGAGGAAGAGATGAGGCTCAGAGCAGCAGACATGGACCTGGGAACACAGACCAACCCAAGATAACTGTGGAAATGCCAAGGGAAGAGAGGGTGGGGAGAGGACACACCTGGGGGGTTGTGGTCCAGGACGGCATCGCACACGCTGATCTTCAGGATGAAGGCTCGGAGCAGCTGCTCCACGTGAGACAACAGGGAGTCTGAGCTGGGAATGAGAGGAGGTCTTCCCGTCACACTGGTGCCCTCCCCTCCACCATGGGCAATTGACCTTGGATGCAGACCTGGGTATGGAGCCTCTCCTCCAGTGCCTCTGAGAGTGTTGGTTGCCTAGGGCCCAGCTCCCTATCTGATCCACATAATTCAAACCAGCAAGGGATAAAAGCAATGCCCAATCCCACTGGGGCAGGGGGTGAGGGGGAGGTCCAAGGAGGCCTCCCTATGTGGTTTTCATGTGCAGCCAGGCCAGAGAACCAGGACACCAAGCCAAGAGGCGAAAGGGCTTCCCTGAGGCCACACAGCCCGTGGGAACAGGTTGGTGCCAGATTCCAGCGCCCTGACGTCACCATCAAAAGCATGCAGTTGACCAACTAACACGTGTGTCAGAGGTCAACTTCCAGTGGACTGGGCACTTGCCTGGGAAGTCAGGAAACTGGTTCTGTGTCCTGAGCTCTGCCCCCACTCAGGTGACCCTGGGTAGCTCATGTCATCTCTCTGGACCCATCTCAGCTGCTCACAGGCTGTCCCCTTGTTAGGCTGGCGTGTCTTGCCCTTTCTCCTCCTGCCCCTTTACCAAGGTATTCAAGGGCTGCCTTAAAGGGGTGGGTGTGTCGCCAGAGGCAGACCTGACGCCAGCTAGCAGGTGAGGGGCAGGGACAGCCCACCTGATGGACAGCAGTGGAGGCTGGGTGATCTCAAAGACGAATTTCTCCACTGGGCGGTGCTCTTTATCCAAAATCACCACCACCACTTTCTCCACATCATTCTGCAAGGAAAGGAATCCCCCACTGCAGAGCCAGGCACCCCACCCCCTCTCCACCACCCCACCTCCACCCCCTGCCCAAGGAAGGACGGGAAACGGCCTGGTCACAGCCCTGCTTGGCTGCTAGGCCGGGGAGCCCCAAGAGCCCAGACAATGGGTTTGAGAAGTTGGCACCCTCTGATGTGAGTGGCACAGGCTGAGAGGATGCCTGGGGCCCACAGGGAAGGTCCCAGGAAGTCTGAGATCAGGACTAGATGGGGAAGAAACCCTGAAGGGTTCAGCCCAGACAGAACATTTAGGGTAGAGAACAAGGGATGGGTATGAGAACCCAGAACCCTCTTGGGGTAGCCCCTACTCAGAGCCAGCTCCACCAACCCAGGCTCCTAGACCCAAGGCACCCTGAACATGGTCCACATGCCTTGGGGCCTGTCCCTGGGTTGGGATGGTCTCCAGAGTGCAGGGTGCAGGCTTCTGGGTATTAGAGCCAAAAGGGCCCCGCAGAATCCTAGCATCGCGCCCATCCCAGAGTTGGACCTGTGAGCATAGAGGGACATGGGGTGAGGTGGCTGGGAGGCCCAGTGCCCCCTCACCTTCTCCAGGAGTGGCTTGACGCAGTGCAGCGTGTCCTGGATATACTGATTCAGCTCCGGATGGCAGGACATCTGCACACAACACGCTGTTAGTGAGGCTCAAAGCACAGACGGGGAAACCGCCCAACACGACCAGGAGCGCAAGTCCGCCTTCTGTCAGAGGCCCAGCAGCTTTCTAGGGCCCCTACCCAGGAAACCCCACTTTCCCTCATGAGACTTAGAACTGTGAATTTATCCATGGAGAAAGACGTTAGAAAATAAGACTCATGCTGGGCACGGTGGCTCACTCGTATAATCCTAGCAGTTTGAGAGGCTGAGGCAGGTGGATCACTTGAGGTCAGGAGTTTCAGACCAGCCTGGCCAAAATGGCAAAACCCCGTCTCTACTAAAAACACAAAAATAGGCCAGGTGTGGTGGCACCTGTGATCCCAGCTACTCAGGGGGCTGAGGCAGGAGAATTGCTTGAACCCAGGAGGCGGAGATTGCAGTAAGCCAAGATCAAGCCACTGCACTCCAGCCTGGGTGACAAAGCGAAAATCCAAAAAAAAAAAAAAAAAAAAGATAAGAATTCAATCCAAACACGAGAATTTAATATAGCATTAGGGGTTCTTATGTGGGGCCCATGGATTCCTCCAGAGTCTGAAAAGACCCTAAAGTTATATCTTTGTGCACTTGGGCGTTTTTCCGGAAAAAGGATCCAAGAAAATGTAATCAGCTTTCAAAAGTTAAGAACTAAGGAGCTGTGTGGGCTCAGGGAAATTTCTTAACTTTTCTGAGCTTCAATCACTTCATCTATGAAGATCTCAAAAAGAAAAAGTGAGGATTTAAATGAGGTAAGTGCCTAGTAGACAGTGAGTGCTCAATAAGTATCAATTCTTTTTCCTTTTCCCTGTAAAGGTGACTCTCAAGTTACTATGGGATTATGTTTGGATAAACCCATCAAATATCACCAGTGGAAAATGTATTTAATACATGTAACCTACCGAACATCACAGCTTAGCCAAGCCTACCTAAACACACTCAAAACACTTACATTAGCCCACAGTTGGGCAGGATTATCTAACACAAAACCTACTTCATAATAAAGTGCTCACGCCTGTAATTCCAGCACTTTGGGAGGTCAAGTTTGGAGATCACCTGAGGTCAAGAGTTCAAGACCAGCCTGGCTAACATGGAGAAACCCCGTTTCTACTAAAAATACAAAAATTAGCCGGGTGTGGTGGCACACGCCTGTAATCCCAGCTACTCGGGACACTGAGGCAGGAGAATCACTTGGCCCTGGGAGGTGGAGGTTGCAGTGAGCCAAGATCACAGCATTGCACTCCAGCAAGGGTGACAGAGCAAGACTCTGTCTCATAAAATAAAAAATAAAGTGCTGAATATCTCATGTAACATCTTGAAAACTATACTGGAAGTGAACAAACAATGGTGGTATGGGGACTTGAAGCCGGGACCATCTGGATGTCCTTTAAGCTTCTACTACTTATTCTCATGTTTCCTGAGTGCCTTTGAGTGACAGGCACTTCTAGGGACTGGAGCTACAGTGCCATGCACACTGCTCTGTCTGCCTTTTAGCAGACAGAGTTCAGGGCAAATGGTAAGGAGAAGGTGTTGGAGGTTTTTGGAAATTCCCTCCTCACACCGAGGTTTGCCAGCTTCAGGAGATCTTTCAAAGTGCAACCATGCCTCCAGGGTAACTCTTATCAGGCCTGGTCCCTAACTTCTGGCAAGGGAAATTCCCTTCTGCGGGGTGGGTAGGCAACCCTACTTTGGAACTGGAGGGCAAGGGCAGAGCCCTGGGGAATGAGGTATCCA